GGTCGTATTCCTCAGCAACCTTAGCTACCACTGGGGCGGAGTAAGCCAATTTAGCTACTGGGGCAGCAGAGTAAGCCAATGGGGCGGCGGCGTATTGGGTGCCGATCACACCAGCGTTGGCGGCGGCCAAAAGGGCGGCGAAGGCAACAAACTGAAAACCACCCAAAAAAAAAAATTAACTCAAAATTTACGACCATCGACAACAATCTTCACTCACCTTGAAGGCCATTGTTGTTCTGCGTCGAGTGTCGAACTGGATTTGATGGTTTCTCGAAAAGAACGGCCCGCTTTTATATTCATCCGAATTCGGATTGCGGCAATATATCCGTTTCGCAACTGTTTGCCTCGAAACAACCGAATCGCAAGAGCAACAACCACGCCTCCTACTAAGATTTATATAATTCACAACGCAATGCAACAACAGACGAACGATTATAATGTCAAATAGATTAAATCGGATTCTTATCGAAACGCAATTTTGTCTGGAAAATAATTACGTTTTGAAGACTCTATTTATTTGGTTTGGTTTGTTGACACACATTTAGACTTGGCAACGGGAATATTTAGACTTCATCTCACGAGGAAGAACTTGCTCCAGTTTCACTTTCTTCTCTGTTTTGTTTTCATTTTTTTTTTCTTTTCCTTATATATTTCAACTTCAACACAAATATATAATTACAGTGTTATTTTCGGTTCGTTTCGCGATATTTTTTTTTCTAAATTTTTTTTTTTCGAAACGCGTATTTCGAGAAAATCGGGAACGTGCGTACATTTTACGCGAATTTTACTTACTTTACGTGTTTATTTTTCTTGCTTCGTGTGCAAACAACACTCATTCACACCACACAGAATTCTTATTTTTCCCACATAAAATTAGTAACTTTCATGTTTTCAAGTTGTTTTTTTTTTATTATTTCTGTTAATTAAACAAACAATAGATTTTTTCTTAATTCATTTATTTATTTACAATGCGAATTGGAATTAAAAAAATTGAATAAATTAGAAAGTTCGAAATCAAAATAATGGAGATTAGAATAAATTGAATAGAAGGAGAGCACTTTCTAGTGAAATTCGAAAAACTATACTGTTTTCTTATAGAATATAAATGGTTTTATGTTGTTACAATACAATGAAATATTTAGTTTTAGTTGCATTTGTGAAAAAAATTACAGGCATTATATGACACTTATAGAAATGATTAAATAATCAAATGAAAACTTAAATTTCAGTGATTATAATGAGTGTAAAAACTTAGAAGTGTAT